TGTGTGTGTGTGTGTGTGTGTGTGTAACCCAGGTAAAGATTACCTGACTATAATTTTAAACCCTCGGCTGTTAATTTATGGTGTGTGTGCAGATTATCAGTCGGACAGCGACAGCTTTAATCCTACGCTGTGGGAGGAGCAGAGACAACAGAGGATGACTGTGGCCTTCGATTTTGAGGACAAGAAAGAAGAGGAAGACAACTCTGGGAAGGTCAAGGTCAGCTATATCTGTTTTGGGGTGGGAGGTGGGGGAGGGGGGTCGTATGAGATGAGTAGGGTGTCTGTTTATCTTTGTTTTTGCTATTGGAGCACCTCCAATATTAAGATTAACATGACATTTTACAAGTAAAGCATTAGTTGACTGATTGAGTGACTGATTTATTTTGAATATACAAATATTAATATTAAAGTAACAACTATAAACATAGAAAACAGAAAAGAAAGTAGATACAGTGGCTTGCAAAAGTATTCGGCCCCCTTGAACTTTTCCACATTTTTTCACATTACAGCCACAAACATGAATCAATTTTATTGGAATTCCACATGAAAGACCAACACAAAGTGGTGCACACGTGAGAAGTGGAACGAAAATCATACATGATTCCAAACATTTTTTACAAATAAATAACTGCAAAGTGTGGTGTGTGTAATTATTCAGCCCCCTGAGTCAATACTTTGTAGAACCACCTTTTGCTGCAATTACAGCTGCCAGTCTTTTAGGGTCTGTCTCTACCAGCTTTGCACATCTAGAGACTGAAATTCTTGCCCATTCTTCTTTGCAAAACAGCTCCAGCTCAGTCAGATTAGATGGACAGCAGTTTTCAGATCTTGCCACAGATTCTCGATTGGATTTAGATCTGGACTTTGACTGGGCCAGTCTAACACATGGATATGTTTTGTTTTAAACCGTTCCATTGTTGCCCTGGCTTTATGTTTAGGGTCGTTGTCCTGATGGAAGGTGAACCTCTGCCCCAGTCTCAAGTCTTTTGCAGACTCCAAGAGGTTTTCTTCCAAGATTGCCCTGTATTTGGCTCCATCCATCTTCCCATCAACTCTGATCAGCTTCCCTGTCCCTGCTGAAGAGAAGCACCCCCAGAGCAGGATGCTGCCACCACCATATTTGACAGTGGGGATGGTGTGTTCAGAGTGATGTGCAGTGTTAGTTTTCTTCCACATGTTTGCTGTGTCCCCCACATGGCTTGTGGCAAACTGCAAACGGGACTTCTTCTGGTTTTCTGTTAACAATGGCTTTCTTCATGCCACTCTTCCATAAAGGCCAACTTTGGGTGGCTGTAGCTCAGGAGGTAGAGCAGGCACCTCCAGTCTGCATGTCAAGTATCCTTGGGCAAGATACTAACCCCAAGTTGCTCTCCGATGCATCCATCGGAGTATGAATGTGTGTGAACGTAGTTTGTGATCAGTGCTCTCCTTGTTCGGCCTGTGAGTTTAGGTGGACGGTCTTGTCTTGGTAGGTTTACAGTTGTGCCATACTCCTTCCATTTCTGGATGATCGCTTGAACAGTGCTCTGTGGGATGTTCAAGGCTTGAGAAATCTTTTTGTAGCCCAAGACTGCTTTAAATTTCTCAATAACTTTATCCCTGACCTGTCTGCTGTGTTCTTTGGACTTCAAGGTGTTGTTGCTCCCAATATTCTCTTAGACAACCTCTGAGGCCGTCACAGAGCAGCTGCATTTGTACTGAGATTAGATTACACACAGGTGCACTCTATTTAGTCATTAGCACTCATCAGGCAATGTCTATGGGCAACTGACTGCACTCAGACCAAAGGGGTCTGAATAATTACGCACACCCCACTTTGCAGTTATTTATTTGTAAAAAATGTTTGGAATCATGTATGATTTTTGTTCCACTTCTCACGTGTGCACCACTTTGTGTTGGTCTTTCATGTGGAATTCCAATGAAACTGATTCATGTTTGTGGCTGTAATGTGACAAAATGTGGAAAAGTTCAAGGGGGCCGAATACTTTTGCAAGCCACTGTATAATCCCCCCAATGCTATTTAATTTACAATGAGCGCTCCTCGATATAAAATATAATCAGACATTTTATATACAACTCTACACACACAATATACATAAATAAAACTATATATACTCCACATATATAGTTCATGCTTTACATTGAGTCAGACACTCTGGGATTAGCACCCCTTTAAATCTTAAGAAAATAATCTCTGTTATGTTTGGACACAGTTCCATAATTATACACCACATGTGGATATAGAAAAACTGCTTCTGGTCATCCGCATACTTTGCACCTTAGAATTCAATTTACCCCCAAAATTAAAACGTTATCACCACGCAGATGTCATAAATGAATCCCTGCAGTATCACACAGTGCACATAAAAAATGATGCATTTAACAAGACATTGGTCAGGTAAATGATGTCACGTGTTCTTTTACACATGTGACAGGTCAGCTGTTACAGATTTCAGGTTTATATGCTACTAGGATTCATTCAGAGACCAGCTGCTTCGTCAGACTGTAGATTTCCCCCCAGTATTGGAAGCAATTGTCCTCCAGTTGCCTCTCCTTGATTTAAGTTGCAATGCTGTTTCCTGACAGAAACACATGCAGAAAACTGTGCACTTGTATGCTGAATTATGTTTGCAAGATTTCAGATAATAAGTCGTGCTTATTCTTGCTCCCTTATCAGGTTTACTTGTTTGTGACCAACGCCTTTATGCTGATCTTGGCAGATTTAAATTTGCTACTTCACGCCCTGTTTATTAAATATAGTCCTAAATGTCATGTAGGTGGAGATAAACCTAAAACGCTATCCAACACCCTACCCTGAGGACCTGAAGAACATGGTTAAGTCAGTGCAAAGTCTTGTGGGCAAAAGCGTACATGCCGGACACGCCGGTCACGCCGTACACGCCGGACACGGGCACCAGCACCAGCTGAGCACAGGCACCGCCACCTCGGCAGGAACCAACATGGAACATACACACCTCAGCAAAGAGCCATATGAACCACCGTGGCCCCTGCCTCCTAAAGAGGTACAGATTACACATACAGACACATACAGGTCAACAAGCATTTAGTCCCAAATGTATTTATTAGCAACAATGTCGCAGGACACAGACATCATGCTTGTGTGTGATAATCTGATAACGGCTCTCACATGGCAAGAGCTTACCTGAAGTAAGTTCATCCAAGTCTCTGATCACTAAAACAGAAGACAGCTGAGAAGAACAAAAGCTTTTCTTATGTTTGTGTTTGTCCGTTTGAAGCAAATCAGTGCACAACTCAAAAAATGGAGTTGTTTTTCAGGTGACAGACAGAGAGATGCAGGACTTCTCTCAGACTCAGCTAATGGATCAGGGACCAATGCACAACTCTGGCATCGATATTCCTAAGAGGAAGGACAAAGAGGACTTGACAGAAAGCTCTGAGGTTTGTCTCTCACTCTCTCACAGAAACACACACAATCCAAAAAAAAAATTAATTAGGTATTTTTACTTGGTTTGTGGACTTTTTATACCTTTTATATCCAGAAGATACCACTGAACACATCCAAAATTCAGTGCTAGCTGTGTGACACTGCACAGATTTCATCACTCATATGTCTGTAAGTTCAAGATGTAAGAAAGTTATGATATCTTTTGAAGTCACTCTAACTCTCACTCACGCTCTGACCTTTAGTGTTGTGAGGGTTTTGTGAGGACCCCAGTGAGGATTTGCAGACAAACAAAAGTCGTGTTTGCATTTAGAGCTAAACCATCAAACTTTGTCGGAATATGTGTATATACATCGTAATCAGTGCTTCAGTTCAGTTTTTACTTTCTCTAACAAGGTGATAATATCTTATTTTTCAGAACTGTATTCAAATAGTGCAGACTGAACTTGGTTGTTTCTTACAATAATGACTCCACGTGGCCTCACATAAGAGAATCTGAGGCATCAGTGAAATCAAAACCCCAGAGGGTTAAAAGCACGCTCCATGATCCTACTGGGGATCAGGAACTCCAGAACCTGCTGAAATACTTACCAAAGTTTGTATTTATTTAACAAATGTATGTATGTTTGATGCCAGTCAAGCAAAACGAATTGTCTACATGAGATTCGTAATCATTTTTTAAATCACAGACGCTGCCTTTTCTTCTCTACTGTATATGCCTGATGCTTTTTTCCCCCTTCTTCCTCAGGATTCAATGGGCGGCTCTCCGAACGACATCCGGATCTCTGACATGAGGCCCACCCTGGTGGAGCCACCAATGTACAAACCAAAGGTGGTGTTGCTGGGGAAGGATAAGAAAGGTACTGTATTATAGCATAAACGTACAGCATTAAGGGAACATGTCGGAGTCATGTACATACATGTCGACAACAAGGCTGCGCAGTTATTTAATGTGGGTCTTATAAAGAGCTTTAGGGCATGTTGTAAGATGAGGGCAGAGGGAGGGTGACGAGGAGTGTGCATAGCGAACCTCTAAAGTGAATGTTTGGCCATTTTTACATCATTTGCCCTGATGGCTTCGGTTTCATCAGAGAAGAAACAAAGCTCACTTTTTACTGCCTTATCAAAAATCTGTCTCCACTCTGAATAACTGAGTGTCTAATCGCATTTTCCAAAAGAAACAGTTTATTATCAGCTCTCCGCAACAATCGACAGCTTTCACTAATACGGAGCTTCATCATATGATCCACTCCTCCTTAAGAAAGCTTATTGCAAAATGATTAAAGCTCAAACAGCTTGTCTGCCTCAGTGGAGTATCAGTTCTTAGTGGAGGCTCTTACGAAGTAAATAAAAAGCTTCTTCTGGTTTGTTTTGGGAAGATCTGACTAAGTTTGACTCAGGAAGTTTTCAGATTGTTGGTATCTACACAGTGCACGTCTGTCTGCAGCCAGGTCAGCTCTCCAACAGCAGCTCTTGATTTCAGTTACAGCAGCCAAGTTAAATAAAGATTTTAAAAAGCCGTGTTTTATAACCAGGCCACGTCTTGCGTCAGTGCTGTGGACTAAATAGTGTCCACATGCATAATGAGAACACTGCAGAGATCTGGGTTAAGAATCTGATGACAACACGAAGGAAACATGCAATTCCTTCACTTTCTAGTCAAGTGTTCGAGAGGCCCCTGAACACAATTGTTGTTAACGACTCAAAGAAGTCTTTGATCCACTTTTTGATTTGGTTGTAGTTCTGATTTGTTTTATAGGTTTGGGGGTTTTAAAAGGTCACAGGTGAGCTTTGAAACTGAGCAACAGATGAGAAGTGTAAAGTGCGTTTGCATGTTGATTCAAATATTAGAAAAATATTAGAAAACTTTATTATTTCTGTTCCTGGGATGCCAGAACTAACAGCTAAAGAGATCAAAAGTCATCAAAAATGAAGATGATTAAATATCTATTAAGATGACATTATTATTGGGATATGCCTTTATGCTTTCCTTTAATGTTGGTGGCCATTGGGCACTACTTAGCTCTGTTTAAATACAAAATATGTCTCGGTCATAGAAGACCGCATATCCCATAATTCCGTGAATTTGAGTCTAATCCTTACCTCAGAGCACATTTTTAAACAAGCTAGCTCTTTCCCTCTCATCCTTAACATGTATTCCTCTGTGTGAAATGAATGATGTTCAACATTTTTGCTGTATTTCCATTTGCGTCTTCCAGATAACGCTACTTTTTGAGAATGAGAGCTTTTAGAAACCACTACAGTGTATTTTCCTTAATACCAACAGTGTATTCTAGTCTCTGTAGTAAACACTGGGGTCTAACAGGACAAACACAGAACTGAGTCCACTGTCAGAGGGCAGAATGTCATTCATAATCATCATTAGTGCTGTTTCTGTTTTAGTGTGAACTCTAAATCCTGACTCAAACTTCTTGAATAGATCATTCCTCTGCAAATGATGACCCAGCCATTTTACAACTGCTCTTTGAAGATTTTTCTGAAAAAAAAGAAGATTAGAAATCGGCCTATAATTAGCTTAGACACCTGGATCAAGTAAAGGGTTTTTAAGTCGTGGTTTAATTATAAATACCTTAAAAACCTGTGGTATGTAGCTAGTTAATAGAAATATAATGATTGGTATTTGAAATGTAAGAATGAATCAATGGTGAGTCTTATTTTAACAGCCTTGTAGGAATTGGGTGTAATAGACATGATGATGATTTAAAGGAAGGCATTATTATTATTTCAGAAAGATTGATAGGAGAGAGAAATATATCGCCACAGTTATTAAAATTAGTGAACGTAATCATTTGTCCTTGGGACGGCTATGAGGGCTATGAAGTTTTTTCCCCTAATGATTAAAATTTTATTTATGAAGAAATTCATGAAGTCCTTACTAGTTAAAGTTAAAGGAGCACTGTTTGTCAGCCTGGCTACAGTGCTGGAACTAAACCCGGTGTTGTTCCTGTTTCCTCTATCAGTGATAAATAGTAAGATGTCCTAGCCTTACAGAGGGCTTTTTTTAAAAATAGAGCATTTTCAAAGGGAAACAAGGGTCATCTAAATGAGAGCAATGCCATTTTCTCTCTAACCTAGGAATTATCTGCTTTACAGTTTGTATTTATGAATTATCCCAGGGAGTCAAACTGCTCTGATTTGATGCCACAGTGTCCAGAAGGCAGTGAGGATGTATGACACTAATAACAAGATAATAAACCTCTGTGGGAGTAAAGTTTAGGATGCTGCTCTGCGTTGTGTTGGCACGTTACATTAAAGAATTCTTTTCAATTGCTTTATATTGTAAGGTAAAGACCCTACAATAATACAGAGAAAAGCCAACAATCAGACGAGCCCCTATAAGTTAACACTTGGCAACAGTGGGAAGGAAAATTTCCTTTTTAAAGGAAACCTCCAGCAGAATCAGGCTCAGGGAGAAGCAGCTACCTGCCATGGTGGGGTGAGTTGAGTGAGGCAGGACAAAGAACACACAGTGGGAAAAAAAGCCAGAGTTTAATAATAACCAAGTGAATGAATGAATAAATAAAGACAAAATAGTGTAAAAACGAAGAAGATAAAAAAGAAGGGAGCACTTTTTAAAATCTCATCAGAACATTTTCAGAAAGACGTCTAGTCCTTTGAAATTGTTTTTCTGGTGCTCTGTAGTCCATTATTGTAAAATGAAATGTTATTAGGATTCTCAGGCAAAAAACTGTGTCTATGCCACATGTCAGTACAAGATCGTGCTGTGACCAGGTTACTGTAAAGCAAAATACATCAATATTTTGATCAACTCATGTACTGACAGAGACATAGAAGAGAGTTACCTGATGTTTAATAGTCCACATTTAAAAGTTTTGCTGTTTGGCTGGAATAGGGTTTGCTTTTCTTTTTGCTGGTATTTTATTTATTTTTAGGTGGTGTGGGAGGGGGGAGGTGTTTGGGGCAGTGATTCTGTTGGAATAAACAATCAAAGTCCTTATTAATTTCCTAAGATAAGAACTCTTTCATGGTATGCGTTTTCAATTTCTCTTTGCTATTTGGGCTGATTGGGTCCTGATGAATATAAAAACAAAGAATGACCTGATTTTTTTTTTTTACCTGATTTTTGTTTCTGAGATCCACATATGAGGATATTCATTTTAAATTTTGATAGAACAGTGGCAGTATAATGTCCTCGTAAGTGGAAATCAGGCCCTTGTAGAGCAACATTTTGTATTTTGCTCTAAACAACCCAAAATGTGATGTCCACATATGTGGATGCCAGGTCCTAGGAGGTTAAAGTGCACTGGCTGAATTCCCAGGTAATTAAATTGGGGGACAAAAACTCAGAATAGGTCGGACCCAGAGGACATTAGATACTGCTCAATCGGTCACCTGATGGAGTGGAGCCTGATCTGTAATTGTAGCAATTGGGTGGTACATGTAAGGGGCCAGAGAAAGGTGCAGCATGGGAGTGACATAGATATAGTTGCAGAAAACATGTACTGGCGGTATACCGCAGTGCTCACCCTCAGTGCTCCCAAAACAATTTAAAGTATATCTGCCAAAACTGGTTTTGAGCTTCATTTGGTCATTTTTTTCAATTAGCAATATAGTAAAGATAAGTTTAATATAGTTAACTAACAATAATACAAAAATAGTGTGATTATGCTGTACTGAATCAAAATTTAAGGAAAGAAAACTAACATGAAGCAAGCTTCTGGTACCAAAATGCAATAGAAAGCAAAAGTTGAAAATGAATAACATGAAGAACAAAAGCTCAATGGAAAATCCAAAAATATAATGATGTTGATCACAAAGAGGACGTGCTGTGTGTCTGCTTCTGTCTGTCCAGAGTCTACAGATGAAGAGGTTGATAAACTCCACTGTCTGAACCACAGCGGCTCATCGGCCACCTACTCCGATTACTCTCCCTCACAGGGCTCCTCGGGCTCCTCCAACCCGCCCGGCAACACGCACTCACACACGCTGTCGCACGGACACCCCCACAATCCCGCCCTACCGCCTCCCAGCAAGGACCAGGCCCCTCAGACGCACTGGACCAACAGGTGCGCACGCCCGTTTCATGACTCCTCCCTCCCGCTGTCCGTCATCTCTTGTACATTTCAATTGTAACCCCACTTCAGTTTCTCTCCATCTGTAATCTGTCACATCCATCTTCCTGCTTGCTCTGTCAAGGTCAGAGAGGCTCACTGGAACACTGCAGACTTCTCTTTAGGATTTTCTCTCTCAGCTTCAAAGCTGTCTGGTCTGAGCTTCAGTCATGTTACTATCCAGAGGAGGTTTTTTTTTTTTTTTGCCCCAGTGCATTAGAAAAGCAAATAAAAAGGTTTGGGCTGTCTCCTGAAGTTTTAAGTCTGGGTGCAGTGCACTTGATGATGTTGGTTAGAAAGGGATAAAAATGTTATGAAAACTTTGTGGGACAGTTTTGAGTTCTAATCAGAAATGTTACAGCTATAAAAAAAACATGTCATCTTAGTCTGCCTGTCATATTTACGATACTGTCAGTGTAGTCTCAATCATATTGCTCAGACTGGATGGCAGTAACAATAAAATATCTGTCACTGATATATCAGCTATCTACAGCAAGACATAGAATAAAACAGAAATGTGCAATATATGTGTTTATATTACACACAGATGTTCAAATTCGCTCCACCGATAATCTTCGATTTAGCAGATTGGACTGTCTGGCTGTAGCTTACGGATGTTTTCTGTTTCTGTTAGACACCACAGTGTCTCCTTAGCTCAGTCAAAACATAGTGTCCAATAATGCTAGTTTTCTTCTCCTTGTCCTTCCCATGTTTCTTCTTGTTTTAAGCAGGCCCTGGAGGATGGTAGCTGGTTTTAGTATTGTTTGACACTAAATCTGTTAATCCACATGCCCTGAAGTGAGGTACAACTGCAGTATTTTATTTCTACTTGTGGAACATGATATTTGCAGTCTGTAAGTAGTAGCGAGGGAGTTTGAAGGCATGTGTTCTCTTGTAAACAATAACTAACACAAACATGGTTTCTGGCCTAATGGGTGTGACAGACATCAGAGAGAAAGGGAGAGAAAGTTGATCTGTCCTCTGAGCTCATTGTCTCTGATTGAATGTGCAACACACATCCACGTGGCATGTCGCCTGTTTGCAATTTTGATCTTCTTGGTTTTTCTCCCACAGTATAATCAGTGATTGATATTTTCTGTCTTTGTAGACTTGCCCAGTCATTTCCCAAGCCCATTGACTCCAAGCCCCTGCTGTCTCAGAGAGAAACTCCTCCATCAGGAACCCTGCAGCAACGCGGGGATCGGCGTCCACTTAGTGAGCCTTTTGACTGGGTTGACGCACCTCACTACGACAACACGGGTTTCGATGCAGAGGAGTCTTCTCTGGATCCTCCTTCATCTACCACCAGTCAGGGAAACCCTCCGCTGGGCTCTAAGCCTCGCAGCTCATCAACACACGGCCGCCGCCCCCTCCTTAGGCAAGACCGAATTGTAGGGGTCCCATTGGAATTGGACACCCAGACGCTCCCCTTCCACGGCAACCAACGACCAAACCAGGACAATGACTCGCAATCCTCCGGACATCCTTCCCAGAATCCCTGGCAGAATTGGACCAGGACCCCGAGCCCCCTGGAGGACAGAACCGCTTTTCCTTCCAAGCTGGACCTTACACCTACTTCCAGCCCCAATCCTGATCGCAAGGACATGGATCCAAGGTAAGTGACTGACGGTCATTTACAATTGAAATACATAATTTTATTGGGAAAGCTTAATAATTCCAAGAGTTTGCAGGAACCCACCCGAGGGATTAATAAAGTTCTATCTTATCTTATCTTATCTTATCTTACTTAACTTAGTTTTGTTGCAATGCAAAAACACCAAAGTGTCACTAAATTGAGATTGTGAAAGCATTTCAGTTTTCATTTCTTAGTTTTATGTTACTATAAAATGTATTTCTGGGGACAGTGCAAGGTCATTTTGATATGCCAAAGAAAGTTTAAAAAAAGCGTTAATTTCTAATAATTGTGAGTTGTAGCCTTAGTCTCAAATTTTGGTGCAGCTGCGTCACAACTGACCGATGGTGTGGAAGTAATTTGCATTAGTCAAAAAATTCAGTTTCTACTATTGTAACACTCCTCTAATCCAGCTTGTTTCTGTGCTTCATAATTGAAAAACACTTATCCCTATCATCAACTCATAATCCTTGATTATTTCTTCCCCCAAGGCTTCAGCAAAGCACAGTGCCTTTGCCCGGCAGCTGGACATATCACGACAATGAGGGGGAGCAAAACAGGAAGGATCAGCTCAGTGTAGGCGGGGTCAACAAGGTGACCGTGGTGATGAGTAAAAGCTCAGATCGCCTGTCCCCCATGATGAAGGAGACGAGATCCAAGTTTAAGAAGTCACAGAGCATAGACGAGATTGACATTGGCTCCTACAAGGTCTACAGGTAGATATTGTTCTGATTCTTCTTAAAGAAAGCTCAAGCTCGATTGCAGCTACTGAAGTTGATTTCTAATGATGCCACGTTCCTCTGCAGCATTCCCATGGACAGCTATAGTTCATCCATTGAGCAGCAAACTAGTTTGGACCGTCCAGAGCTCCCCGGTTCTATGGAGCAGACCAACATGTCACGGTCACAGTCTGCCCCCATGTTAGATGAGGAGATGGGATACCCCGGACACGGATCTGGCGACCAAAACCAGAGACAGAACCAAAAACCTGCCATCCCACAAAAGGCTTACCACTTTGACCACAACTACAACCCGCAGGTTCGATGGAGTTGTGAACCATTGGTAGCGCTCATATATTACGTTTTTAGACATACACAATAAAACTAAAATAATCTGATTGAAACCAAACAATACAAAGTTAAACAAACAATTCTGTTCTTACCAATCAGGTGACCATGGATCGCCGGGTCCCTCCCCCTTTCCCAAACACACCAGATTATGTCAACCACTCATCGAAGGCTTTGGAGTACCTCAACCAACCAGGGAAGACACTACCCAAAGAGCTAGTGAGCCCTCGGTATCGTGCATATCCACCCTTGGAGATGTTTTCTTTCCCCCAGTCGCCAATCAACCAAGATGGTCCGCCCAGCCAGCAGCAGCAGCCAATCCCAAGTCAGCGCTCCAGACCAGGATTTCTAAGAAGAGCGGACTCACTGGTGAGCTCTACGGAGCTCGCCTTGTTCAGACGGGTTCATGAAGCTCAGCAGGAGGCGCTCCAAGAGTCTCAGTACAGACAACAGGTAAGCACAACAAAACAAGTAATGCTCATATTCCATAAATGGATGTGATTTTCCCTTTCATGTACTTTATTGAAATGTAAAGTAAATCATAGAAATGTGTTTCTTTCAAACACTATTTATTCCCTAAAACCCAAAGTTAGTTTTTGTTAAGGCTCTACTTGAAAGTCATCCCCCTCCCCATGCATTTATTTGAGGCCAGGATGAAAGCTCATACTTTTGTTTTTTTTTAACTCCCACTCACTTCCCATCTGTGACCCTCAGGTGGATCCCCCTCTTTATGGCCGGGCTGTCTACTCCACTCCCATGGAGCACTCCGCGATGAGTAATATGGCCGACAACCAGAGTCAGATGCTGCACAACAAGAGAAACGGTCGTTATGATGACGACTACCCCACTTACCAGGAGCAGAAGAAGCCCATGATTGGTTATCCAACCAAGAGCCTGACTCAGCGGCGTCCCCTGTCTGCCAGAAGTTACAGCACCGAGACCTACGGAGCATCTCAGGTACACTGTTTGTCTGTGTGTTTATGTTTCTACTTAACTGAGCCCTTTAAAAAGAGGCAGTATTAAAGTGAAAGAGTCATGTTACAGTTATAACATAATGGCTCTAACTAACAGTTATTTTCCTTACAGGCAAATCTGCCAGTTTCTTTTTGTTCACTTAAGTATCACTTGCCTTCTTTAAAGATGCCTTAAAACAATAACAGGGGCAGATCACCATTTTCAAAATCCCATCTTGACATTTTCAAATATCTTGTTTTGTGTGGTCAGCAGTCAAAAGCCACAGTGATTCAGTTACAACACAGAAACACAGCAGAATAATCTGCCCTGCTTTTAATATGCCTGCTTTTATGTCGTCTCTTTGAGGATGCAGAATTATAGCTTTGTTTCACTTCCATTTTCTTATAGGTACTCAGGTTCAGGTTTTTGTAGTAGCGAACTAAGAGGCATAGCACTGGTGTCCTTTGCCTCAGTCATATCTCTGAAGGCGATCCCTCGTCCATAAATAATCCCTTCAGGCTATTCTGGATTTCCCTCAAGTTAGACTTTCCCAAATTAGTCACAGTGAAGTGTCCAGCAGCATACTGATTAGATGTGCAGATCACTTCATCTGGCACCTTTCAACAAGAAGAAGCTGGGCATGGGAATGAACGTAAGGGCTTACATAGAGCGCTTGTGGCCGCTGTCTTTTTCCTGCCATCATTAGCCAACACTCAAAACTGAAGGTTGGAAAACACACCAGCTGTTACACAAAGAGCCTCACCTTTAGGCAGCTGGTGTAATGTTTGCATCGCTGTTGTGTTATCTTCGTTCACATGTGCCATGTGACCCAATCACATTGGTCGCTATTAGTAATATTTCCAGCTTTGCTAAACAGCAGCAGTATCACTCAGTTGATCAGACCACCTATTGATCCAGACTGAAATATAACAGCTGCCGGTTGGATCACCTTTCAAAGTAATTCCGTCTGTCCATCGATCCACTTATCCACTCACACATGTACACACACATACACCCAAAGACACCTTTAAAGCAGATAGCGATTCGTCTCAGAAGTACTGTGTTTTTAGTGATAATTTCTTATGGGTCATACTGGGACTGGAAGCTGTCCCAGCTGTAATTGGGTGAGGGGCAGGGCACACCTTGGATAGGTTGCCAGTCCATCGCAAATCGATGCTAAACTAAGAAAGCAAATAGTGAGACTATTATACATTAAATGTTTTGCATTGAGTTTTGAGTCCTTCCTGCTTTTTAGTACAAGTAAAGTAACAATTGACACAAAAACCTATCTGTACACACTCACAGAGCTAGTAACATGCTGTAGGGTTGATACTGATTTAAACAACTGACCAACACTGTCTTTCCTTTTGTGATTGCAAGTGGTTGGCAGAATAAAACAGCAGTTTAAGTGTTCTAGTCCTTCTGAGGAACATCCAGTGGTACTAGTCTGTTATTTATTTAAGTCCTTAAACCACTTTGTGGGAGTAAAACAAGCTGTAAGCATCATAAATAGCATTACATATGTTATTTAATACCTAAAAAACACTCATTTGTAGCCACTTGATAAACTGACACTTGGTCTCCGTCTTGCATTTAGCTTTTTATCCACAAAATGTTCCAATATGAACACTTGTTAATTATGAACCTTGTACATTTTTATGTTTAAATATTAACTCCCTTGTGTTCAGGCACGTCCGGTGTCTGCCCGTCCCACCATGGCCGCCCTGCTAGAGAAGATGCCACCTGACTACACCCTGGCAACCTGCCCCGAGAAGCCACCCGATGACACCATCAAAGTAAGACCTGTTGTACCCCAGAAACCTGAAGACATCACCTCCAAGATGCCTGCCGACTGGAGGCAACAGCTACTCAGGCACATAGAGGCGAAACGACTGGACAGGGTATGTCAGTGCAGTGCACACACACGTAAGAGAGAAACACGCGTACACATAGAAAGCATTCGGAAGCCCTCCCTGTGTGTATTTGTGCAAGTCTGTGTTGTAAGGTTAACCAGATTCATGTCTGGCTTCATGTGTTTCCACTTCACACCGTCACTCTGTCAGCCTGACCGTCCACAAACTCACTACGACAGACAGCGCAGTAAATTCTGTATTGTGATAAATATTTTGATCTTTTGTCGTGTCCTCAAATCGTCTTTCTTTTTGTGAACAAATAAAAGTCAGCAGGATCGTCTCCATATTAGGATTTTAATGGCGCTGAAAAAAAACTGTATTTTCACCTTTTTGTTTGTTTTGCACAATCACATGTTAAGGATCGTGCAATAGTATCACTGCAAAGGAGTAACATTTAGGAAAATACTTTCGTGACAGCTCAGTTATACTTTAGATTGATAAATAAAAAGCTACAGACTTGAAGTGCAGCTTAAACTGTCTAAAGGCAAAGTAATCCAATCAAATTCTCACATTTTGAGCACTGAGGATGGATTGAGCTGTTGAATGGTGTTTTCTGGATTTCTATCTTTCTTTGGCCTCCAGTTTTATATTTACCTGCAAACATGAGAGTGCTATCAGTCCTTTCATCTAACTCCCAGCAAGAAAGCGAATGAGCCTATTTTTGAAAATGTCAAACTAATTACTGAGAAGCAGTACCTCAGCAGACAGGACAATCAGACATGCTAGGGAGGAGGTCTGGAGCGTGCAGTTGTGAAAAAAAGATAAAAACCTGCAGAATCTAAACAATATGATCCACCAAACCCATCACACGGTGCCTGATGCATCATCAAAAATGAAGTCTTTTGGTTATAGGTTTGGTTTAATTGTTTGTCAGATATGTTACGCGACAGCTAATCTAAAAGCCTTGCATACAAATGTTGGAATGAACTGATCCACCTGTTGTTGGCTGTATGACGCACTGTTCTGTGTGTATTGACCGATCACTAGCTAACATTTCTCTGTGCTTTCAGCAGCTCTGCACTCTTGTTGTTGTTGCTGTTGTTGTATCTGTTATTATCAGTGTTATTGTTGTTTGTTTGTGGAGCTCACAGTGTGTTGTCGCCATGCTACAGCCCGCTGTGTTGGCTCCGCCCCTTCCTCCTCCTCCCCCCCTCCCCACATTCACCCATGTCGTGTGATGTTGTCTTCTCCAATCAGAGTGGTGTCCTAAAGCACAACACGCTCACGCTGGGCATGCTCTGTCAGGGCGGGGGTCACGGCCAGGGGCGCAGCAGCACTTTGAACTTTAACCTTTACAATAACACTAAGCATGAGCCCTCTGCTGGCCGCTGGCTGCCACTACCTCCACCTCCGTCTGCTAACGCTGTGAGTATCCCTCCAAGAACAATGTTACTGATGCTTACAGTATATGATTAAAGACAACTTCAGCTACTCCCTCTTTACATTCTCGCCGCTAATACAAACTATTATTTAAACAAAACAATGACCATGCAATCTATTTTAGTCACTGTTAGATGTTCCCTGTCTACAACCCAACAATAAGAATTGGAGAAAGCCATTAAAATCCCGTGGGTTTTTTTGTTTTTTTTCTCAGCATGACTTGAAATCATTCAGTGCCCAGTGTGGCAGCCTGGTGGTGGCTTGTTTTAAAGGATTTAAAACTTGAAATATGTCACTTACCATAACAACAAACAGAAACTTGTTTTTCCTTTCTTTCAGCAGTCACAGTCTGTCTGTCAAATTTTGTCTGACACATGTTAGGCATTCCTCATTTACAGCGTTTTCAATCATCTTAGGCCAGCTTAGCTGTTACCAGCTTTTAATATCGCTGTCATTTCTCCACGAAGTGGCACTAAACTCTGGAAAACAAACAGATTACTACTCAGGTTTTTTTTCCAGGGATAAACCAATATATTGTTTCAATATCACATCAGCCTTATGAAGCTGACATCTTCTGAATGTAGTGCCCATTGATTTTCTGATAATCATTAATTATCGGTTTTGGACTGGTTTAGAGGCCCAGAGGAAGGGCAGAATGACTTTAACCCTCTAAGGTCTGACTCATGAGTGCTAGGTGATAGCCTAGCACTCATGAGTCTATATTTACTCTATATTTTGGAGACAGATAGAATTGACTCTTTAAAAAAAAAAAAAAAAAGGGGGGCGGGGGCTATAGTTAGGGTTGGAGCCATCGCTGATGATGTCTTAGAAGGTGAAAACAAGTACTTTTTTTAAAGACACATTCTTTGTTTCTTTGCAACAGCAAAAAACCCCCAATATAAACTATAAACATCAGTATCTGAAATGGCAATAGACCAAATTGCTATTTCAAACTTTTTAAAGTTTCAGTCGCTATTTCTGTGAATATCTCAGTGGTTTGATGTGGGCACGGCTCATTTAGGCTTCAGTCACACAGGCCTGGGGACCAGATGGTGACAATCTAGCAACCACCAGTTGGTCACTAAGAAAAACTGTGTATTCTGCAGTCACTTCTCGAGTATTTGTAGGAGGTTGCTGCCAGTCACTGGTTGAAATAGGTTGCAGGTTGCCATCGTTTGCCAGCAGTTTATATATTAAGGAAGATGGTGATTTGTCTGCAAAAGTAGTACAACTGGGGAAAAGTGCTACACAAAATGGAAATGGAGTCTAAGTAAAATTAACGCCTGTTGAAATGTGTTACTTTTATTTTGAAGGGCATTTTACTTAGACTCCATTGGCATTTTGTGTTACAATTTTTCAAGGTTTTTTTCTGAAAAACTCCTCTCATTTAAGCGGGTTTTTAGGGGGGCTTTTGGTGTGGAAAAAAGGGGGAATCATAAAAACAATCTGTTCACGTTGAGCACGATATCACAGGTTTTATCACCGCCTAACATGACTTCATCTCGAAGGAGAAAAATCTGTTCCAGCTCTGTTCATTCTTCCAACTGAATCTCAGATGAGCTGCCTGAAACTCCAGGAGATAATAGGAAGACATGACTGGGGTAGCTAGAGTTTAATGTTCATTGTCAGTAATGACCACTTTGTCTCTTTCAGACCCCGTCTCAGCAGGGTGGCGTGCTGGACAATGACCAGGAGGGGGTGTCAGGAAGCAACCAGTGGGCTCCCTATTCACTAGGCAGGAGGGACGTCCCACCTGACAACCTGTTAAAAAAGGTGAGACCTGTTCACATCTCAGTGAAGCATCTCATCTCTGTTTTTATGCTGAGCATCTTCTCAGTGATAAAGATAACTATTTGTGCAATTACTCTTAATCACACGTTACATGTATTCCCGCTCTCCTTCCACAGAGCGCCCATTCCCATAACCCTTCCCATCAATCACACAACACCATGATCGTCACTTCCTCTTCCTCCTCCTCGGCCACTACACCTCATCGTGTGGTGGGTCAGCAGGGCTACGATGGGATGATGAACAAAGGAGGCCAATACAACCAAGGGATGCAGCTGTCAGTGGTTCCGTCTGGGGGGCCGGGACAGTACCAAGGCAACATGTCCCAGGGTATTGGCAATAAAATCATTTTATTTCTATTTATAAATGTTCACAAGGAGACTTTTTTAAGCAAGAATGTAGAAATCTTGATTAGCAGCAGTAATCCATGGGCCTCACATTAACAGCATGTACACATATCTATTTTAGAAGCTTTGTTTTAGAGTTAGATGCTACCAGCCTGTTTTTCTCCATACAGCCCCTGGACAGGCCTACCCCAGCGGTGGTCTGCCTATGGCCCTGTCCCAATCCGGAAACCAACCCCAGTACAACCCCCATACCTCTCACACCTCCCATCAGCCCGCTACCAATCCTCAGTACCATGTCAACCAGGGCATGGGCCATAGCAACCAGGTCGTTATGACCACCCACACCAACCCACGGCCTCAGAGCGCTCGCTGCCTGTTGCAGACTAAAGGCCAGAAGAGCACGGATGGTTTTCAGGAGCAGGTATCTGTCTGTCTGTTCATGTGTCTGCCTGCACCAACCGCACCAAAAGCAATATTGGAGGTCTTTTCAAAAATGGGCTCTTCTAATATTACTATATACAGTATTACTTATACTACTATTACGTATGCAGTATAGGGGAAGGGATATTTCCGTAGAGGTAAATGTGAATGCTTTGATGGAATAAATATGCTCCTGCATGTAGGGTTACCTCTCAGTAACTAATTTCAGCTTTGTTTAGCTCTATCTTTACTGGAAAAATAGTTCCCCTTAATCTCCATGATCCGCTGTTTGGTAACTAACCCGCAAACTAATCTCTCATAGAGTGATTAGTGCTTGTTTACATCAGTTTCATTAATAGGAGGACACGGAGGGTTCAGATTAGATGCTCAGTTTCGCAAGGAGAATTTATTGATACCAGATATAACCATAGTTACCAGAGTTACAGTTTGACAGTAGCACTCACTCTGTTAATAAAAAGAAAGCTAGACTTTGCCCCTGTGGCATCACACAGTGGTTTTTTGGAGTTCTGTGTTGAAGCTTGACGATTACGGCGCCATCCTTCGCCACCTTTCTTTGGATGAAACCAAAAGGGTGGAACACTAACTTATCAGCTAACACTAGTTAGTGTTCTCTCACAGACTAGCTAGGTTTATTCAAAGATTTGATGTGTACATCATACAAATACCTACTAGTGGCTGCTAGTTTGTGCTAATTACAATTAAAAACAAGATGCTGAAATATTAATTTACAGATTTACAGACTTGGATGGGCTGACCAGAACCAAAAACCAAGTCTAGATGTGTAGCTTTTGACAGGCTGTAAACATGTTTGTTTTTTTCTGATATAAACTAGGCCAACATTGGAATCCATGGGGAATTTACTCACTTTTGGAGCCAGCCTCAACTGGCCATTTGGGAAATTGCAATTTTCCCGCCCGTACAAGATTAACTTTTAAACTGCAGACCTTGCTTTGCTCTTGGATTAGACCAATACAAGGCAGCAGTCAACTAAAAGGGGGAAATCTTGAGATATCTCATGCTTCTAAATGCAATTTTAGCCACTTGACTGCAACAGCCTGGGCTGAAACATTTTAAAAAGTGACAGAGATGGGATTAAATTAGATTAGACATTTCAAAGCATGAGATTAGAGTGCCAGTTGAGGTGGGAACCTGAAGATCTAAACAAAAAGCAAAGATCTCAGTGCCTCAGCTGTTGCTCCATAAAAGACCTCCAATACAGCATAGGTGCCAAAACATGTTGCCCGTCACACACGAGCGCACTTCCACATGTTGTCTGGTCACTGTCTGTCTGTGCGGTGATTTTTCACAACTTTGTATTTCACTTTCAGTTGTTGTCTTGTCTTTTCTTTTCTTTTCTTCCTGTATCTCTCCCTCCTCTCTCTGTAGCTGTGCGTGAGAATAGAGAAGAACCCTGGTCTCGGTTTCAGTATCTCTGGTGGCATCAGTGGCCAGGGGAACCCCTTCAAACCCTCCGACATGGTACGACCTGACCCGGCCTGCCAGCCAATCGCAGCCTCCCCGGTTTTACCTCAGAGTTGCCATGGAAACTGCTGCTTGTTACTGCAGTGTTTTCTTTCCCTGTCTGTTTGTCTGTCTGTGGGGCAACCGCTTGACGTGGTTAGCTGTGGGTGTGTTTGAGTGCATAATGTTACATGTAGGGCTGTGCTATTAATTTGGTAAAGAAACACTAAGGTGTGATTGGGGGTGTTTCCAAAACTAAACCCGAGCATTGTTAGACTCACTAGTGATTATGATACTTGAGTCTGACATACTTTAATTTTAGGGTTGTTTTGATGTGATCTAAATACCTGCACAGCATCCAGGGCAAAGCTCCTTGTTTGGTTGGTCAGCAAACTTTAAACAGCTATGTCCACATGCATGCAAATATAAGATAAGCCAAACTCTCTTATCATTCCTACTTCTGAGTCTGACAGTGTCTGTCAGTGTATGCCAGGACAGAGAGCCTGTTGGGGTTGCAGCTCCCCAAGGCCTGCTGCACATGGCAGTCTGTCCTAGAAACACACTGCTGCAGTCAGTCTAAAGGAGCGATGCTGCTCGTGGTGCTCTGACTGCTATTTTGGGAAAGCTGCTCAGTTCTGGGACACCGTGGGTGATTTCAGATGTTCACCACTTTGATCTAGGGACAGGGTTATATGACAGATTTTGACTGACTGTTATTCTGAGGAACAGACGAGACGACTGCCCTATAAATAGAAAGCACACAGAAAGAGTGCTTTCCATTGCACCCTTGCAACAAACGGGGAAGTTTCTTCCGAGTCGGGAGTAGACTGATTATGTGGAAACTGTCAGTTCATCATTTTAGTTTTTGAAGCAGACAACTGGTGAAACAGTTGCTGACTCGTGCAGTTATTTTAATACTCCCTCCTCTGCTTGTATCCATAGGTCTTGCACTAGCTGCAGTTTGTACATTATTAATGCCGCGTTACACGGGCAGAAAATGGAGTCAATGCAGATGAACATTTTGTCAGAGGAATACGAGATAAGGTTACGTTATCTATCCAGTTAGTGTGGAGCAGTGGGCATTGTGGAACACTTGGTGACGTTTCACTTTAGAACCGAACGCTTGCTTTTACCATACATACTGTGGCGTCCGGCGAATGGCGAAAGTGGACGTGTCAGTCAGTCACTGCTCATCTGCTGGATATTCGCAGTGATTCCCTCTGAGTCGTCAGCATGTATGGTTCAAAGGAAATGTTCTAAAGTGAAATATTGATTTAGATGTCCCCTGTGTCATGTTATATAGACTGTATGTCCGCTTTATCTAACTAACCCACAGGGTCACATGGAGGGAGCAGATGGAGGATATTTGTCTGCTGTCAAAGTTACAGTGCCGGGATACAACCGCAACTGTTACAAGCATCCTCCTCTGAATCCTTGTTCTCGCTGTTGTTTCATTCACACGTGAGAGGCATCAAGCGGAAGCCATTAACGGGTGCTTCGGAGTTTTATCAGCGGTAGTCACCTCGGGCGTCAATTTGTCACCAAATTCAAATCAAACTAGAAGCAGATGCCTTTGATTATTCTTTGAATCTCTTTTCTGGCCTATTCGTGAGAGTGTATCTGTTTGTCGTCTGATGTGTTTGCAGCTATTTTTGGTTAAAGCCAGTGTTAGCTTTCAGATGAACTCGAGGTGAAAGAGTTAACAAGGGCTGTATGTTTGAAAACAGCTTGACTACTAAATTATACATCTGTGGTTTTGGATCCCCAGAGCCTACTACAGCTGTGGCTATTCCACAGGGCTGTGGCTCCCCCTGGTGGACAGCTTGTTATTTGCACTCGTGCTTTGATGGGTCTGGGACATGCCCACATGTCCAGGTGAATCACAGATGGTACAGTAGGAAATTGGTATCAAAACCACCAAATATAACACAACTATACAAAATAATTAAATCTATATTTGCTTTTAATTCTTTACCTAACAGAAAAAAATACCTTCTTTAAAAATGTAGCTTTATCTGTCTCTGTTTTTTGCAGAGAAACAGAATAATCTCCAGGCTAGATCTCCAAATAATTGAAAGTTTACAAAATATACCTCTTTAAGTACCGCTCTCATGTACCTGATGATAATTTTTTCCTCTTTCAAAAATCTATCAGAAGTCATCAACAGGTGTCTAAAAAGAAGCAATGATGATAATAGCCTCGATGTTGGACTTACAGGACTCACTGAGGCCCTCTAAGCCACTGGGCCAGTTTTACGTCTGCATAATTAGGACTCGGCAAGCAGAGACAGGGAATTAGTTCATGTATCGACCGGATTGGGATCTGGGCTTTGATCTTTGAGCTTCTCAGGGTCGGTTTAAGAACAGAAGACTGAAGGTTTTAAGGATCAGAACACGGATTTTATTATGTTTTCTTTTTGTTAAATCTGGGTCAGGAACATTTGAAAATCCAATTTTCTGTCCCTTCTGTTGTTAGATGTACTGTTGTTGCGCACTGAGCTGCTGAGATACAAACACATGTTACATGTTTAAAGGAAAAGTCTAAAATCCCCGTGTGAAACATTACTAATATTGTTCCCGATTGTGTAGAAGTTTTTTTTGGAGATGGAAGGATTTTGCAAGATGCTGCAGCTCTGTGTGCAACTGCTCTGTTGTGTGTAAATGTTTAATTGGTGTGACTAATGCTACACAGTTTTAGCCCCTACTAAACTTTTTTGTAAAGTACAGTGAGCTTCATATTAGATCAGAAAGGCCACGCTGTCGTACCCGTTCGAGGTGCCGACGCCGTAAAGAATGGACAAATAACGGCGTCGTACACAGCATTTTGCAGGCAAAATGAAACAGTTTGTATCCTGGTGAAGAAATTATTTTATCTGTATGTGCATGCATGAGGCTCACTGTATACTAAATGTCACTGTTTTCACGTGGAGTCACTGAACTAACCCTTCCCCTGTGGAACTGTTTAACATGCAATATATGTGTTTGTTCTTGCATTCTCTCTCACAGACTGTAGTATGTAGGTGCTGCTGCACTCTCACTACTACACGTCCTATTTGTCACCTCTCTATGGCAAATATATCCGTGTGTTCAACACAACCTGTTGAACCGTGTTGAGTCGATACAGGTGCATTGTCCTACACTTTCTGTGTCCAAAAACATCTTTCAGCTCTCGGTGAAAAGATGTTGGTGTTTTTACAATCTCTGCCTTGGGTTATTGAGGGAAAATATGGGGGATGAATTTTTCTTCTGCCCTGCCCGCGACCTACTTCCTTCCCATAGTGAGAAACCCATCCCACGTCTACTCTTCTTCCCATAATCTTTAAATATTTACTGTGTATATTTATATATTTATATATATGCCAAGTCTATATCGTTAAAAAGAGCTGCTAAATCTTTTTTGTCTCTTCGGGAGGGCTTTATCACCCAGTGTTTGTAAATTTTAAGAGAGCCGCTAATCTGAAGGAAACACAAGCACCTTACAACATAACAGTTTCAGTGTCAAAATATGTATGCAGTATTTGCATGCCTCTCCAAATTGTGAACAAAGAGAATGCTTTGATGAACTGGCCATATATTTAAAAGTGATTTATTTATTTATTTATTGGGAGGGTTGGATATTGAGTTGAGAATGAGAAGGCAAAGATTCTAAACCATCGTGTCCCTGTGTTGTCCTAACGGTGTATCATTTTGACTTATAGGGTATCTTTGTTACTAGGGTACAGCATGACGGGCCTGCCGCCTCCGCCCTGCAGCCCGGAGACAAGATACTGCAGGTAACACCCGCTCACTCGCCATCACATAGACATCACAAACATCCACATCTTGTCCCTTCCATTCCCAGCCCCACCCTTTTTTCTTATTAAACTGTGAGGTGAAAAGCAAGGGTGTAGTCATCCTACTGAATCTTTATGTTAACTGTAGATTGTGTGTGTGTGTGTGTGTGTGTGTGTGTGTGTGTGTGTGTGTGTGTGTGTGTGTGTGTGTGTAAGGCTTTCCTGCTAAATATTCTACCTGTATGTGTGTGTGTGTGCGTGCGTGCCACCTCAAAATATCAAGCACCACCCCCCACATACACCCGTGCGCCTTTGAGCCAAAGCTCACAGTCAGATTTAAGTAGCTTTTAGCAATGTGTCATTTGTTATTCATTGCTGTAATGACAATGGGAAAAGCTGAAATTGCAGTAAAAGTTACAAATGGAGCACATGTAATCTCATAAAAACAGCTGAACTGACTTCTAATCTACTCAGATAAACAAAACTGACAGGCACCTGAACCTGTCACTGGAGATCATCCTAAAGCAAATTACAAAGAGCATTTAAATCCCATAAAATGTAGAACAGTTGAACTGGACATCTTATACACAGGATAAAGGTAGGGCAATTGCAGATATACAGGTTCGCCATTGTAGTTTTTCAAGCGTGGGAAATAAATAAAATGTCACAGGAGATTTTTACAAATGGAAAAAAAACCCCTCTTTTTGCTTTAAATAGCTATTGGTTGGTATTTCCTACAAAGGTGCAGTGTTAGTTTTGTTCACTTGTGAAATGCCATCAGAGCACAGAATGTTGGGAGGAGGGTATTGAATCACACAAATGTGATCTACTAAGACGTACAGCTTAGTTTTCTGCAAATTGCACTGAATTTAGCACCAAAAGGAAGCATGTCAATTTTGGACCCTGTGTGGCTGTGATAGTTGCTGTTAGAAGTGTTAATTTGTTTAATGGGAAGGGGAGAGGTTATCAGAACAAGTGTGTAATTTGCGTAGGCGCACGGTTTAAAGCTTTGACTTTGTCCTGCAGCTCTTCAGTGAGTCCTCACCGTGAATGTTTAATATTTCTGGTCCTCACTGAAACTGGTGTTTTAATGAAACAGAGCAGAATTGAAATGAGCCAAACTTAATGTGTAGGGAGAATCCCAGTATGAGGGGTATGCACACTTTTTAAAGGCTGTGAAGTTAGTTTTTCCAGTGAACACTGTTTCTTTTGTTAGTCCCATTTCTACACAGAGGTTGATATACAATTAAAGTGTGTTGGGTGTCTGCTCTTCCAGCAGTTTGACTGCAATGAACTATTTTTTCTTTTTTTTTACTGATCTGTCGCGGATGGGTCAGGATCTGATGATAAATAATCTTTGTGCTCTACTACACATTGTAAAGGTCAGCTTCCTGCATGTTCGCTGGATGAATTCTGCTTTACATTATGAGGTCTGCAACCCAGACGACCCAGAGAATGCCCGTCCTTATAGTTTCCTCCTGTATAATTTTAATGTTTCACTAATCCTTACATAACGCCCAGTGAAGCAGTGAAAACTCACTGTTTGACCACAGTTATTTACTGAACTCCAGAAGCAGGATGTCAGAAAAAAGCCTGAATATCAGGTACAATATATGCGGCTTGTGATGATTTCTAATTAAGTCAATAAACGTCCATGTTTTAGGACTAGCGACCACTTTTTTTTTTTTTTGTGTCCCGTTTGGATCTTTAGCCATCAGAATTGTTGTCTTAGGGCCAAGAAAGATGCCAAGCGGATTTATTTTACCAAGTGGATCATCATGGCCTTGCCATATTGGTCCATTTGATTGACCTTTATTATAATTATGAATTTATTTTATTTTCAGTTGCTACAAACGGGACAGACATGACTGGGGGATAGGACAGGGAGAAAGAATGAAAGAAAGAGAGGGAGAGAAAGAAAACCAAAGGGGAGAAGAGACGGTGAGAAGGGGGGGAAGAGAGAAAAAAAAACAAACAAAAAAACAAAACACCTGGGTCACCTGTATGGAGAAAAAAAACAGAAGAGAAAGCAAACAACAAAGAGCAACATAATAAAAAAAACGGCACCATCACAATAAACTAGCTAGCAGTAGATACTAAATAATAAACTATATTGTGCAGCACGCGATGTAGAGAGCGCACAATGTGCTTTGAGGCAGCAGCCAAGAAACTAGCGACCACTTGAATAAACAATTTCAATGATCAGTAGAAATCCATGGGTTACGTCTTCACATTATTAGAAAGCTGTTCTTAATATAAAATAGCTTCAGCCGAGGCCTTAGATTTGAAAGCACCTGAACACAGCAGCTGGGTTATTTTTTTTAAATGTATTTTTACCCATGAACACAATCTAACATGGTTTCATTTGAAGTAAATATGAGTAAAACGATGTAAGTACGCAAGTACAAGTTATTTGGATTGATGTGCCTCGCAGCAATGTTTTCCCCATCAGCCAAATAATAATTGAACATCCGCCTCCCATGTAAAGCAGTCCAATTGAATCAATAAACAGTAAACAGCAACAGTAGAAATCTCACTCTCGCGCCACGCTACACGCATTTTATTGAGATGGATTGAGGTCAAAATAAGACGTCAGTGCTTTACGGTAATAGCTCAGCCTCCCTCACCCCCCATGTGCCATTCCTTTCATGTTTCCCTCTCTCCTCCCCCTTCATCTTCTTTCCACAGACTTACAGTGTAGCTGGATGAATTCATGTGAAAGCCCTTTTTTGTCTTTACCCCTTCTCTCTCTCTCTCTCTCTTTCTCTCTCTCTACAGCATGACTGTGTAGCTCCTCCTCTTCTCTCTCTTTTTCCCAACAGTGATGTGTTACTGAGATAATGATGGCAGTGACCCTCCATCCTTCCACAAAACACTCACACATAGACATGTGTATGGGAAACTTAAACGAGCCGCAGCACATATACCTCTATACACACGTGCACCCACACACATGCTGTTGACTGTGCTGCGTGTTTGCCTTGCAGGCTAATGGACATAGTTTTTTACACATGGAGCACGAGACAGCCGTCTCTCTGCTGAAGAGTTTCCCGCGGACGGTGGACTTGATGGTTCTGAGAGACAGCAGCACGCGCTAAAATAGTTTTTAAAAACAAACAAAACAAATACAGCAACGCTTCTCTACTCTGCTCATCGCCATCCCACGCCATCCCACCTGCCCTCCTCTGGAGGTTTATGGAACTGAAAATTGAGCCACATTTTTCCCCCCCTTTTTTTGTTGTTTTTTTAAAACATTTTTAAGGGAACAGTCAGACATTTATTTGCCTATTGCTGGACCAAAGGCAAATACCAGTGCCAAATGTACCATAGGAAACATATCGGCTCTTCTGTCTACCGGCGGTCAGCGATCTGATCTGATCGACGGCTGGACGGACCGCAAGAGGACTATACACTTTTAAGTTCCTACAGGGCTGCTGCAGTTTGGATTTTGTGGTTGGTTTGTGATTTAAGCTGCCATCTGAGCGGTCAGCCTGAGTAGTTTTTGTCGGTTAGTTAGATTTTGGGATATTTTTCTTTCTTTTCTCCACTGCCGTCCATTGTGAATTTAAAGTATTTTGTTTGGTGTAGCACATGGTTCGCTTTCCTTGTTCTTCACAGCTTTATTGTTTCTTTCGCATCTTCCGTCTTTTACCCCACTTTTCAGTCCTTTTTCTATCACCGTCTTTGATTTTCATACTCCTCCGATATATTTTTTGTTCTGTTCTGCAGGTTATTGCCTCCACTGTACAGAAATTGAAACTTAAGACTCTGCCTTGTGTACATACATAGAGATTCAGCTTGTTAGAACTCTCCTTGGGGCCTGAGCAGACAGCTCTTAAAAGTTTATGATTCTTATGATTATTGTTGATAAACTATATTCTCAATTCCCTCCTGTGGAAATACAGGGGTCGTTTCTTCAAATGGTTTTCTAAAGAGTATATCACCGTTTTATCTGTATAGAAAACACTTTTCATAGTTCATCACTGCTACTTGTTTTTTTTTTCTTTTCTCTTAAAAAAAGCTGTTGCTTGCACAGCTGTGCTGAAAGGAGCTAAAGCAATATTTCTGAGGCTCGGCCCATTGAGCTTTTCAGCAGAGCCTTACTTGTCCTGCAGTGCCATCTATTGAGCAAGTCATGCTAATGTTTACACACACTGCCATGCACATAAACTAACAGGCAAATACACACATAAAATTACACATATCTATTCTCTGCAATGTTGCATAATGCATCCCTCATTTTAGAATATCATTTCCATTACAAAACTGGTCCATTAATATTAACGGTGCCATCTTTTTAAAGTCCTGTCTTATGTTGTGCAGTGATGTCACATCCCTTTTGAGGTGTTTATAAAGTCACAGCATGCTTTTACATCACTGGACACTGACAGATAGCCATTTTCTGTTGGCTTCTGGACGTCTCTACTCTCTAGAAGACTCTAGACGTATTAAAGCACTAAGTGCTGCTTGTTGATCTGTGCCATATGCAGCCTCCTCGGCTGTATTTACAACAATATCAGAGCTTTACCTCTTTGTGGCCCAGCACACACTAAAATCAAAAACGTGGCTTCAATGAGCCGGTAAGCTGTTCTATAGTCGTTGACCCGGCTTCAGCATCTCCTCTGCTGAAGTCTCCTGACCTTCGGCCTTCCTGTGGAAAGCAGTGTGAGACACTAATGCCCCTACAAGCATCTGCAAGGTTTCATTTTAGGAGGATAAATCAGATATCGTCTCTTTTTTTGACAATCGGGGAAACATCTGATTTGTGTCACATGTGCTTTCGGTTACACTTGAATTGTAAAAGGTGGTGCTGATTGATACTCGGCATACACGGAAGGCTTGCTGAATTTGCTGGTAAATGCTCAAACTATTTAAAAGAGCAGGGAAAATGAAAGTTACGGTGGACCTGATGGGTCAACAGTACTGCAATTTAAGAAAACATCTGCAAACAGAAAAATGCTACAAAAGGTCACGAAAGAAAAAATCTTGGAAGAACACAATGGAAGTGTATTAGGGGAGATAATAATGTGACAGAACCAAAACATGCGAAGGGTTGCACAGACACACGCTAAAACGAAGTGGAGGATTCTTGTGAGGGGAAAACAAATGCAAGGTACTGTGTGTTTAAATCGCATAATAACATAAATATATGTTTGCTATTAGCCGATCACTGTTAGCTTCTCACGTCGGCAGCTGTTCCGTCATGCTATTGTGTCCCCAAAACACTTCCGTAGTGTTTTGTGAGGGTTTTTTTGTTTTTTTGTTTGATTTTTAGCTTTTGCAGCCTTATTTCATTTGCCAAAGTTTCCTAAAATTGCAGTGCATTTGACCTCTCAGGGCCACCGTAGCAATAGACTCTATGTAAAAAAGCAAAAAGAGGGAAAAAAACAAAACACCAAAACAGAGATTGAAAGCCTTTGCTCTGTAGTCTGACTTTTATAGTCACGCTTGAGAAGATATACTGACTAAAATACAGAGTCTCTTTTTGTCTTTATGTAAATGCACCATGGGTCTTGAAGGCATTTCATGGCAGTGAGTTTTGTTCTGTTCTGCATAACATCTGATGTTTCATCCGGAGCGAACCATCCTTCACTGTCCTTTTGATTTCACTTGACAGGTACCCTTTTTGTGCCAACTCTCCAAATACGATTCCCATCACTTTGTCAATAGGAGACACAACACGGCACAGTTTAATCATGTGGTTAGGAGATTTAACCACAGGTACCTACCCCGACCCTATTCAGAGTTTGAAATATCAAAGATATTGTGATGAGAACAGAGTAAAAGGTTTGATAATATAATTATTTTTTACTACATGTTTCAGGTAATTCTTTCTAAATATATTGATATACCTTAGCTTTGCTCAAAAATTGTGATATTTTATAATGACACTTATAACAAAGTTATGGATGGAAGTACGCACAGTATGACTTGGAGACCTACACATGTACTATCCAAAACTGTATAAAATGTATTTCTACTGTAATTGTGAATTTGTGTTATACAAATATATATTATATATATGTATATGACTATTTAAAAAAAAATTCAGTCATTTTCTATGTGTTTAAACTGCTAAAAGAGCTGAACAAATGAGGGCGGTGTCACTGTACATAGCTGTGAATGAAATCCAATTTAAAAATGACTCATATTGATTGTGAATGTACTCATGCTTTCTGCAGTACCTACACCTACCCAACTTGAATGCTGCTTCTTCTGTTGTGTGACAAAAAGTACTTTGACCTCCGAAGAGAGAAACGCTGTCGAGTTTATAAGTTGGACAAATTTTAGTGACGATTTAACAGAAACTATTTATTTCTTTATTTATTTGCACATGCAAGTTGAAATCCTTCCAGTTTTAAGTTTGAGTATTAATGCGGAGAAATGTAATTGCCGAAGTATATATAATATATATCATGTGTTTAGAATGCATTTTGCAGACGCTATCTGTACATACTATTTAAGATACAGTTTTTACAAAAAATAATATATGTATAAAATTGAAAAAATGCTGTGCAGCGATTATACTGGAGCCATTTTGGGCTTTGGGACGTACCATTTTTTCAGTATATAAGAAGTGTTTTGAATAATGTACTAAAGTCTCTATTGTACAAATAATAAAAATGTCACTATTGGTAATATGGGCTTCTCCTGGTGCACTGAGCTGTTTTTAGGAGGGTGGAGGAATAAAACAACACTTTTCTTTCCATATTTATGCATAAGGAAAAGGGGAGGCAGGAGAAAGGAGTGAGGAAAAAAATGAGTTCAAATGCAGATGCGGGAAATGCAGGGGCCAGAATAAGGAGTGAAAGTAATGCTGCAGTGAAAGAAGCTGAACAGAACAGAGAAGATGGTGAAAGGTGAATATGGGAAAAAGTGAAATGGGAAAAGAAAAGGAACCGATGGATAAATTATGTGAAGTAAAAGACAGTGATGAGGATCGCCTCAGCAGGTCTGTGGGAGATTACAGTTACCTCTGTGGATTAAACTCAGCAGGGCCTCTCATCATCTCTGCAGATGCTCCTTTGTCTCTCTGTCCATTAGGCTAACAGCCTGACTCCTCTTCATCCCTCTTGATCCATCCATCTCATCTATTCTTGACACTTATCTGAGCTGTAGATCGCAGAGGGTCAGCCGAGTTCTGACAGGTGCCTCACAGTGTGTCTCTTCTGGGGCTCAAAACCCACGTTGAAGAAAAAGCTTGGCGCATCGCGGTAAGTATGAAAATCTTACTAGTTCATGCACACAGGTTACTCTGCAATTAAGGCAAACGATTTAACATGATAATTCGAATCCAGAAAGTAGTAATTGGTTCTTGTTGGGTCTGTGCTTCCATAAGCCCCGCTAGTTTAGAGACTTATTCCTCATGAAGAACACAAGACATAACAGAACATCTTCAACCGGTTTTTCACTCACTAACGAGGGAAGTTTTGGTCAAGAACCAGCTCTTGGAGCTCACGCTCCTTACCTGTCTCATGCCCAAAATCCTTCAAAGAGCAGCTTCCCTCGCAGCTATTTATTGACAAACTGTTACAATACACAGCACAGCACAAGCAGCTCCCTCAGTAAACCCCCCAATGGTTCTAAGACAAGGCACTATGTGTGTGTATGTGTAAGCACCTGTATGCATGTGCAAGAACGTGTGTGTGTGTGCATGACTTCCTGCTCACCAAAAGGATCATAAAAGCAGGAAGCAACATCACAAGAAACAGATCTTTCAGATAGGATGTATCTGCAATAAAACCTCCCCCTGCACAGAGTGGCTGGAGAGGTGGTCAGAGACAAAGGGATGTCTTGATCCTATAGATTGAACTCAGACTTACAAATTTAAGAAACCCAATGACAACATTCAACAATTAACAGTTCTATATGGAAATCTTAGTTGAAACCAAAACGTTTTATGAACTTAACCAGAAGCCTTCAATGTATGTAGTGGGAATTAGTGAAAAGGAAATTTAATGAGAATGAATCAATGAGTTCATTTGTAGGCCAACGAAAATCCCAGCTTTGAGGAGTTTGCATGTTCTCCTTGTACTCTGGGGTGACTGACAGACTGATAAGACTGTCCAGGATGCACCTCGCCTCTTGCCCTATGGCTGTTGGGATATGATCCAGCCCTCACAGTGATCCTGAAATGGATGGATGGAGTCCATTGCCCTGTGTGTTCAGTTACTCAGCAGTCATTTTGTCTACATTACACAGTATGGTGAAGTACGTGGGTTGTTTTGTAATTTGCCATTTAAAATAAGGCAAATGGGTTTTTTTCTATATATTTTCTATTTTTTTAATATAATAAAAATTTATCCAAAAAGGTAATAAAGAAAATATGTAATTTCCTCAATGACGTCCAGTATTTTTGAATGCATCACAGATACATTAGTAGTTAGTTTTCAGTTTAACACATTGCACTCTAAACATGTGAGCAGCTCATAAAATTTTTTGACTTACCTGCATAAAGTCAGCTGCATTGCTCAATCAACTATGTGCATCATTAACATTCAATACAAATAAATGCACATGTAACTGTAAACAAACAACACTAACAGATATTTGTCAAGAGGAATTTAAGTACCTGTTGATGATGTGTGTGATGTGTATTTTTAACACATCTGAGTTTTTGTCTCTGCAACCAAACTGGAAGTTTGATGCCTTTTTTCTAAACTCTCTATCCGGTGGCAGGTTTGTACCATTCCCGACTGTTCTCTTGGCATCAGAGCCCACTGTAGAACAAGTCTGCTTACTGTGGTATCAGCCGACAATAAACAATAGAGAGTAACACCGCACACACACACACAGGCGCCCACACACTAACGTACATTCTGGCAAAAAGCAGAATGACGCCCTTTTGTTCCCTTCCCTCTTTACTCTGTCTTTTACACACTGCATTGGACAAAAAGATACTTCTGTTTGCCACATGACCAACCCACTTACACAATCATGCATGCATTTACTCCCCACTCTGACTCATATATTATACTGGAATGAGAGTGACTGCTGGCGAGAATTTGTAAGAGATACAGAGCGAGAGTTTATGTGCACCCACCAAAATGGTCAATAAGCTCTTCTGACCTAATCAATAATAATACCAGAGCCTGGGTCCATGACCTGCATTCAGCTGCTGCATGCTTATGCTGATGGAAGTGTCCCTACCACTGCTCTACTGTCCACATGAAGACACAGGCGCAGTGTGTCTCCAGCATGCATGAACTCTGCTTTTCTAATGTCACTCTCTGAATGATTTCACCTTTTTAGTCTTACGGTTGTCTCTAAAGGTGATTTATGCTCACCCATTAAACACACCACATCACAGTAAAACAAAGATAAACAAGGCAGTGGAACAAAAGGACACCATATCATTTAGGAAAAGCTACTCTTTGGCTAGTTGGATGAAATGATCAATAACAGTTTCCTGTCTATTAAACCAAGCATAGATTGCTTTTCATAGTTTAACATATCCTGGAAGTAGAGCTCTTCATCTTATATATCTATATGTAACTTTTAAAAAATATAGGTTAGCTAAATTTAGCAAACAGGAAATCATTTGAAAATGACTCTGAAAGAAATACTAAAATTAGGTGATGAAACCATACCATACGTGTCCATCTACTATGTTGATGACCTATGTAAGAGATTAAATGCTTCCAGTCGCATAAGTGTGCTGCTTAAGGTAAAAGTGGACAGTTTATTGCCACTTCCTCTTAATAACTGACACAGTGACAGAGATACAAATGTCAGCTACATTCTTTAAAACAGAAAGCTTGCAAGAACCACTTAAATAACCACATTTATTAGTTTATTTATTTATATCCTTGCTATAATGATAAGTGCATGTGCATGTTTGTATTTACACTATGTGTTTCTTAATGGGTGTGCCAATGTCAATAAAACTTTGCACAAATATCATTGCACATACAGCAATTATACTTCACAGTGACCAAAATGTATATCTGCAACAGAATTTTGTTCAAGTCGCAACTAAATACAAAATGAAGAATGTGAAAAGTGCAGCAGACCTGGCAAAAATTGCCCTTGGTGTAGGTTTTTGCTAGTTATGACTAATGAGTTTGCAAAATCTCTTCAGCTTTAAGTAACGACTGAAGCATTATGGATTCATATTTATTATTACGCTTACTTATTACTTCAGTGTTTCCCAGTACAGCTTGCTTAGCTTGCTGTTAGCTCTTGTGCTAGGCACAGCTTTTTGTGATGTCCTAACAGATGTGTCAGTGGTACAGATCAGGAGTTTGGGCTTCAGGTTTTCCTGAGCAATATTAATTGTACTTAGTTAGTCTGTTGCTTAGCAAAAATTAGCCAACAGGTGTATCTATTTTTTACCATCTCATAGTTTATGATTGGACATTGTCAACTGAGCTAATTGGTGTAGCAGGCAATAAATTAGCAATCCACCCATTGATCCATATAAAGTATATTCTGGGTCCAAAAAGCCAACATGGAAGCAGGAAATGAAATACAGACCCCAAAACTAGTGGGTGATATTGTGGTGGCATACTGTCTATGTGTAAAACATCTTGAGTGTTATGTTTTTTAAAAGGAAATGTTTCACAGTCCCACTAACCTGTCAGGAGACGTTTTAATTAATTATGGAAATTTACAGTTACATTCAAAAACACTACTCTATATAAATTTCCTCTCAAGGGTGGCGGTTAGTAAGTGTCAATATGTAGCAATATATTCATTATTGGTCATGACAATGATCCCAAACACAATGCTGAAGCAGTAAATGCATGGGTAGAAAAACAGCATCTTTCTGGCTTGTGTAGCTTTAGGATCCCCACTTGATCACTGATAGCAAAACACCTCGCTTTTAAGAAACTTAATTCATGCAAAGGGCAAAGACAATAGGTCAAAAATACTGATAAATTTTGATTTCTATCACACAGAGTTTTATTTTTTTCACTGAATGGAGCAGCAGATGCTGATACTGATTGAGCATCTCCTGTGTCGCTCTGACTGGAATAGCAAAACTTTTTGCAACTCTTGCTCAGAGACAACCAGGAAACCAGGCTATGGCTCACATAAAGGTAGAAAAGGAGGGACAACAGACTGCATGCTAAAGCTGAATGGGCATTATGGCTCTCTATATATACTCATATAGAGTCATTAGATTCTAAAGAAAGGCTTTATTTCTTTCCACTACTAAAGAGGACTTGCCTGGTAGGGATGTGGATCACTACAGTTTAGTGAGACAGGTCTGGTACAGGGGATGGTTTTCATCTACTCAGCACACTCAGTTTACCATGACAATATGGCTAAAACCACACAGGGATGAAGTGCCTGGACTTTTGCTGGGATTGCACCAGTGACATTTCAATTGGACCCCCTTGTATTTTTCTTTGTATGCACCCATGTAAGCTCCATAAACAGACATAACTGAGTGACAAGAGCCAAAGACTAAGCTGGGAACAGGAGAGGAAAGCTTTCATAGATTTAATGTAGTTAGATCAGTATCTGTAAACCCAAGTCTGTCCTCGGCATTGAGTGGATTAGATGTGGATAGGCAACCCAGAATAGACCGGGCTTTTATCCACTCCATACAATATGGCTGTTTAACATGACAATACCTGCAAGACACAAGCTCCTTATGAAGAGCCCCTCCAACCTGCTTCATCTGTGGTTTAGAGTGTGTGTGCGTACGTGCGTGTGTGTGTGTGTGCGTGTGTGTGTGTTCGTCTCGCAGGACCGTTCAACCGGTCGGACGGCGTTTTGAGTCAAGTCATCTGGGTGAAGAAATCGGTATTAGTTTAACCAAATGGTGACACAGGGAGCCTTGAAGTGAAAGAGGAACAGAGGGAGGGGAAAAACAATCACGCTATCATTATTACTCCGGGTTCTAAGTCCACGCGGTGATTGTCAGCGTTTGTTGACAGTGTCTGTGTCAGTTTTCTGACACTTTTTTTCAACACTTCATTGAATTATATTTTCTCTTAACTACCGGACAGGACGGTGGTGCCTGTTGTGGTGACAGTTTGGTGTCCCAGTTGGGTGAGCAGGCTGTCGCGGGACAGACGCTCACATCTGTGATAACAGAGTCGGATCGGTGTGAGCCAGGGGAGGAGGACTCGGCGTGCGTGCCACCATGCCTGTGCGACAGAAAGGTAAAGAAAATACTTGTTAGGAAAATGGACTTTCGGTCTGTAGTTACACGTCTATCTTATAATACTTCTGTGTTAATATTCTTATCGTATAACGCATTTTGTGACACCGAACGTATCACTTTTAGCCACTCAAAAAGGTCGCGTTGATGTTGCGCTAGCTCCGCGAGGCGCTCTTATGCGTTAGCGCACGAAACTTGTGTGAAACACCTGCACTTTTAAACGAGGGACTATTCAGTGTACGTGTACACGACTTTTAGAAAATAGCTCCAGGGCTCTTACTGCATACTCTGACGCTGTTGTAAATTCGGCATACATAATATTTAGACAACAACACGTTTGCTGTTTTTTGCAGTGAAATGCAAAAAACAGCAAAGCTGCCCACAAATAGAGCTCTTCAATATAAAAGTGCTTGCAGATAGATGCATAGAAATTGAATTGCCACCCTTTTAATTCATTTTGGCTTTACGTATTGTCATGCAAGTGTAAAGTTAATGTACGCACTGACACATTTAGTCGAAGTTTGACGTTGATCGTCACTGCTTCCGGTTTAATCAGCTGTTCAGAGACTGGAATTTGCAGCCTGCACCTTCCCTTGCACCATAAACTCTACTACCCTTCTGCATGAGGACATCGGGGCGATATAAAGGATGGCAGTAAAATGTTATAGTTTATCTTTAATGCATAAAATGTGCAAATACACGGGTTATGAAGTCTTAATTACCATTTTAATTAAGAAGGTTTTCACTGATCATTACAAACCCTAATAGAAGTTGTGATCTAGTAGCCTGGAAGGAAAACACAGAGTCATCTACTTTTTTTCTTTTCTTTTTTTTCAAATCAACCCTGGTTTGAAAAAAATGAATGAAGACACTTTATTTTTCAGACAGACATGCAGAAATTCTCAATTTTAACCGTAGTTATCTGCAATTAAAAGCTTTTAATTGCTCTGCTTAAGAGCAGCTGGATATTGTGTTTTCCAGAAGAGATAAAAACCATGTTTTTTTCTATTTATTTATTTATGTTTTCTTTAGACGCCCAGCGTGCCCTGGAGCTGCTCCAGCAGTATCGAGCCAAGCTAGACCAGAGACAGCAAAAGGCCAAACAGGGACCTGTGGAGGAAGACCACCAGCTGCAGCAGTCTTTGGACAAAGTCATCAACGTCTTTCAAAGTCAGCTCTTCAGTGCACTTCTTGGTAAGAAAATTTGCTTTGGTCAGCTTTGATCAGATTTCCTGGATTTTGACAATTTAGGCAAACTTCTTTTATATTGACTTTTCTTTGGAAATTAAGCTGTGCTTGGAGTGCTTTCTGTCAGGCATTACGTGTATTTTATGTTTAATTTGCTATCAGTTTAACGCATACATCTGCATAACTTCTTGCACTTTATCTTAACACATCACAACATTTTTGCACTTCTGGTGTCTAACCATTCATCTTACGTGCAGATTAGTCCACATGCAATTATTTTATACCATTTTACATCATTTTTATAAAAGTAGAGACAGTGGTTTTGCCATTTGTGAGTTACATTATGTTAGTTCATTGACTAATAAAACAGAAAGTTTCAGCAAAGGTAAATATCAGTTTTATCGATCTTAAAGATTTGAGCCTTTCGTTGGATTCTTCACTTCCTCTTCGCAATAATGCAATAATCTCAATGTTGTGCATGGATTTTGTTCATTTATCAAGATTCGTGTCTTACAGATACCAGATACCACACTACAAGCATCGTCATGCTGTGTTTGGGATTGACAGGGACTGACTAGATTTCCAACATTAGGTTTGCAGAAAATAGGCTGAATTCATGAACTGTTTCATTTCTGTGGGGCTGATATAGTTTTTACAAGATGTTTGAGCTGTGCTGTCACTGGACCGCTAACCAGAAAATGTAGAGCAGGACGGAGGGTGTCACAGAAAGCAAGCACTCACCTTTAAAATCTAAATCTATGTACAAATTCCTCTAACAAAGTGACAGTCTAACCAGCAAAGTTTCCTTTGATTAACTGTTGCTTAATCACACGAGAATCCTCATGGTAATGTTAATGGTGACAAACTGGTTTTCACTCCCAGGCCCCACCTGCTTTCTACCCCGCCCACACCTGTAGCTATTACAGCAGCGCACCTTCTCACGTTTATTGTGCCAGCGTTTGTGTGCTTGTTCATGCTGTTCACTCAGTTCCTCTTTTGAAGCTTGACTTTTTACTTTAACCAAATTGGATCTGATGGGTTGCGAAATAATGCTTCCCCTGTTTTGTTGCTTGATATTCTTATTGATCCTTCTTTCTGGTAAAGATTAGAGAAGACTTTGTGTATGGGTTTGCGTTCCTGCTGCTGCACTGGATTATTCCACTATTTACATTTCACTGTCCTTTTTTATTCCCCCTTATCATCTGTGTTATAGCCACCAAACTCATTTGAGATGTGCTTACAGGATGATATATGATTTAGTGCAGAACTATTTGTCAGCTGTACTGTGGATTAGGGGAAGCGAACCATTGCTAGTAATATTATGTCGCCACTAGAGGTCCTCAGAGTATTAGCTATGTTTCATTAGGTAACGCATTCTCTACTGGTGTACTCTGAGATATGGAGTCTCTTTGTGACCATCTCGGTTTTGCTTGCATCTGAATAATTTAGCATATACTATAAAGTAATAGTTAAGCTCTGCTGGAGCAGCTTTTTTTAACATCTCAGCCTCTGTCCAGCTCACAGTGGGGACTCCCTTAACAAATTTAACCAATCCTGGGACAGTTGCAGATAGTTGTTTTCAGAACATAGGGGCTACATTTAAATAGGGCATTCATTTGTTAGCTGCCAACCTGCAGTTGACTTAACAGTCACGGCAACATGACTTTTAAGGGAACAACTGACTGTAAATAAGAGGCAAGCATTTCCCCATATCTGCACCTTTATCTACGGCCACTCAGTAACTAAACCTGTCGTACTGTATAACAGGCTCTCTTACACCCACCGGTACCAAATCCCGACACACTGGAATACAAAGCAGGCAAATCAGGTCATTCTACGGGTGGAGTAAACTTATCAAATCTCATCTGATAAAATTCACTGCAAACAAGTTAGAGAGCCACACACAGAAAACAAAAAAAGCTGGACTGTATACCCGTCAAGATTGCCAGGTTCTTAACAAATAAGTATTTATTGGCCTTTTTGGTTAGAACTGGTTAATTAGTGGTGATGCTTCGACACTTAGTGATGTCTGTTCTCCCCAAGCACATCTAGCTGTCATGGTGGCCTTTCCACCATATTCAGTAGTTACTTTAAATGCAGACATATACCTAATAAATACTTAGGTAGATGTCTAATTACACTACCTTTGAGGTGCAAGTCCTGAAGATCATTCATATTTTATGCTTTTTTGGTGTGTTTTTCTATCCATCTATGTTTTTCCGGCATTGGCATTGTGCTTGGTATTAGCTGGTGGATCAAAATCTGACAGTACTTTTCTGTGTTCATAATTTCATCGGTTTTTGACAAGATCCCCAACGCCACCGCCTTCACCCCGTCCAGCCTACAGATGGCTGTAGGCTCTTACTATTGCACCTCTCTCCTGAGAGAATGGCTTGATTCTTGATTCTTCAGTGAACAGAACTCTGGCTCTTATGAAGCAAAATATAATGAAATGTGGGGTGGCCCAAGACTTTTGCACAATATGATTTTTAAAGGTTAACTGATTATAAATTACACCATGGATTTATTTTTATTAATGATCAACTAATCTGTCTTTTGGTGAATAAATTAATGTATCAATTAAACACTCACTGTTTGCACTCAGTGATTTGCCCACTTCTGTAGGGTTTAGTTAATCACTACACCCGTTCACATTGTTACTTTCCTCCTTTTTCCAGATATCCAGGAGTACTATGAGTTTACCGTCCTTGCAGACAGCAAGTGCTCTGCGGACAGTCCCAAGAACCTTGCTGCCTCCTGCTGGCTGCCAGCAGAACCCTCAGCCCAGCCACTGTCCTCCACAGGTCCCTTGACCTCCAGCATTTCTGATGGACAATCCCAACCCAAACCACTCGTCTCCAAACCCAGGTCATTCAAGTATCCTGCGCCTCCAGTACCATCAGCAACACCAGCAACAAAGCCATCTTCGCCTACAACGCAGTCCAGCACACCTGAGTTGCAGCTGGCCAAAGTGAAGTACCGTGCTCCTCTTCCTCCTGCTCAACCGGGGGGCTCCAAATCATTTGAAGCGGAGACTTCTAAACCCAGTGTCGCAGTTAGTAATGCAGAAACCCCGACCGGCTCCACAAATACATCTCCTGGAGTGTCGCTAAATGGAACAAAGCTTACTGCCACCAGCTCTGGCGTTTCTTCAGAAAGCTCCACCAGCCCACAAAGCATTCCTGCTTCTTCTGACCTGGTGACAGTCTCAGCCCTCGTCTCGAGCACCATTCAAGGCCTTGTGTCTCCAACTGCTCCGGTCAAACCTGCCCGCACCAGGATCCCTTCCAGCACAAGCCCAGGTCCCAACAAAGTCACAGATTCTGTCCCTACTGCTCCTCTGACCAGCAAGGACTCAGGATTCAGCAAAGTCACTCCCATTCCAAGTCCGACTAGTCCAAGCCAGGGAAAATTCACCTTCAGCGGACGCAGGTCCACAAGTCCTCCTGGACAGCTGAACAAAGGACCTTATGCGTGAGTGCAGTCTCTGGTAATATGAATGTGCATTGATTGCTAGTGTAATATCTTTATATAGTACTTCAACATGCTATTAGGAATTTAGATATAGAACAGAACACTAATGGACACATATTTGGAGTTCACCTATTTGCACCCTCCCTTGATCTCTTTTCTCCAACCAGCCCAACCAGTCCTGGACCAGGACAGGGCCCTTCCACTAGCCCAACCCATGGTCCAGCCCTCTCCAGGCCACCCACGAGCCCAGTGACCCACAACAAGGTAAGACATCTCTTTATGTTTTGTTGTAAGGACCACAGGAAAGCTGCAGCAAATCTGTCTGTAGCTGACAGAAAATGAGATAGAGGTTGTGTCACGAGTCTGTAGCTGCAGACTCTTGGAATTTGCAGTGTGAACCCAGATGCAGATAAACAGAAGCAAGAAAACGAAATCTTAAAGGCAGGAACAAAACAAAGGCAAAAGGAGACCATAAACACTAAGGAAACTGTGAGGAAACGAAACTAAGAATACTTAGAACGAGACTAGCAAAACTGAACACACTGAACACAGGATGTGAGACTATCAAAATAAAACAGGAAACACGTTTTAATTGATTCTGTTGTGATTGTTAAACTATTGACTTTGAAAATGACATTTTCAGAAGCTGTTAGAAAGGTTCCTGAGAAGTGTTTATGAGAGACACCACGTCTGCTTTTGAATCAGTGTGTCGAAAGGCTTGTGGTGGCTGCAGCAGGCAGAATAAGATAGGCAGGTTGTTTATACAGATTCATGCATTGCATAATATGACAAAGGGAAACAGGTTAAGTAACGTTTTAATAATCTGGACAGTCAGCAGAATGAGGTCAGAGGGTTAACCGTAACCCTTGGGTAAACAGGGATTGATGGTTTCCTTTAGTTTGAGCTTTTTGACCGCAGGCTTGTTGCTGATGACTGAACATAGAGCATCATTAGAGTAATGTCATTGTGCTTTTTTCAGTGTGTCTGTTTACTAAAGTTCTGCTCTTTACATGATGATTGAATTTGTGGAGTTGGAAGCATCAAGTTTTCATTTTTTATCACAAAAATGGGTGAATTTTCCAAATGTTAAGTAAAGCCCAGCCAATATGGAAACTGAGCAATTATTTTTTTGTTCAGAGCGTACCGAGCCTCATCTATCATGCAGTATCTTACCCAAGCACACTTCATGGAGAAGAATTAAAACTTTTTGATTAGTGGATTATTCAATATGGAGCACACTTTTTTTTTCCTTTTGTTTATTTTTCTGTGTTTTTAAAAGAAAAATTTGTGGGCCATTTTTCATTTGTTCTAACGGGAACGAAAAAGTGAAAATGACACAGAAAATAGTTCAGGATTGACTCAAACCCGGGTCACCTGTTCAACCACGTTAGCTGTACCTGTGCCCTCATCTCCTCTGATTATTCTATAGCACATGCAGAAGTTTGTGCAGCTCAGGTTGATGGAAATAATGATATGTTGCTATGCTCATATATACTTTTCCTTTAATGTCACACCCACCTGGGACAAAACACAGACTTTCTTCTAGTCAAAATGCTGCATAGCTAACATGTACCACTACAAGCCACTCGCTTTGTTTAGAACTGCTATACAGCTGAAAGTGTAGCAATGCATGTAAACACTCTTCATCTAATTCTTGTTGTAGTGGCCAAAATTGCACCATCCTTTTCCACAGCAGCCCACATTACACTTGGTAGGTGCTTTAAACTATTCAAAATGTTACTGCCTTGCCATCATGACCTTGTCTAACTTTAGCCAGCTAATAAGAACTCACTTTCGTTTGGATAGTGAAGAATGTTTAGTTTTTTTTTTCACCCCAAAGCTATTAATAATGATTCTGGTTATCACAGCCCAGTGCAGACAGACTGACCACTTTCTGTTGGCAACGGAGAGCATCAGGAAAAAACAACAATGAGTGCAAGCACCGGAATAGGACAAAAAAGTAGAGCAGATACAAATGCACATGTGAACTCGAAGACATGTTGCACATGTTCATGCTCTGCTGCAGATGTGAGTGTTAGACATGGATTTGCTTACTCCAACTTTCCCTTCTCTCTCAGCGCCACAGGTAGTGTATAGTATTTGCTCTATATTACAGCATTTACTGTATATTGTACACATACAGTATATTACAGTGCCAGCTGTAGTAATGTTGTGTATCAAGGAAAAGCAAAAGAGTCAAATCGCAGCTCTGCGTGTAGCTTTGGGCTACATATGGAGCTTTAACTTCACCCACAGTCAAAAAGTTGAAAGTAGAGCATCTATTGCTATACCGCTGTTACTGTTCACTCAAGCCCCCCCACTTCTGCCAAACAGAGACCTGACCTGATAAAAAAAAGCAGAGAGTGGTGTGAGTGTGTGTGAATCTGTTTGTGTATGCGCTTATGTCTGTGCATACACGTCTGTCAGTGTGAGTGTTTGCCTGTGCATCCATGTGTGTGCGCTTCTGCGGCTGTCTCCAGACGTTTGCCGCTTTTTTGTGTGTGTGTTCGTGTGTGTATGTGTGCTGAGTGTTCTGCATGTGTGCCGATATATATTCTGAGCCATGCACTCTTCGAGTTCAAAATGTGGCTACCAGCTGCCATAAAACGAAGAAAGCAGCTGGAAACCAAGAGGGCGGGTCGAGGTGCATCGGGACAGACTCGCCATGTTTCCGATTCGGCCTCTGTTTTAGGAGAGAAGTCCTATCTGGCTGCTCCGATGAAAGGACAGGTGGAGAGGACACAAGAAAGGGAGGAGAGAGAAACTGAACGATGAAAGGAAAGGAGGAGACAGAGACAGACAGACGGGAAAAACATGCCACCAAAAGCAGCAAACATCTGATCGGTGGAACAGGAAAGTTGGAGCCACGAGATGTTTTGGTGAAAGTTTGCCAGTCGAACTGGTGAGGATGGATTGCATCTGTATCCTCACTACCAAGGTGAGACACGGGAACAGAGCAGGCTACTGTAGAAAGTGGTGGAGAAGACAAATCAGGGCACAGGAGAACAGGGTGTGTCAGTGTGGTCATTAAGACAGTAAAAAAAATTTAGTTTTATAATTTTGTGATCGGTGTATTTATTCAGTCATTACAGCAATGCCTTAATTTTTAATGTCAAACTCATTCTGAATGAATCATTGATGGGAAACTTAGCCATATCAAATTGGGGACACAGTTGCTTCATGTACAGTTGACTTGCTTTAGTTTGTGAATAAACAGATTATAAGAGTAGTAGGCTGTGCTTTTGTGAAGCGATTCTAATGGGAATGCTGATCTGATGTACAGTTATTGGTCTGACATCATGTGACACCCAGAGAGACAGCAAACTAGGTTGATAGGACAGACACTTCAAAAGAGCGACTGCCTGGCTGTGAAGGTATGCGACTGGTGCAGTGGTTGACTGAATGACTGACTGCTCTTGAGGCAGAAGAGAGAATTTGGCTAAAAAAAACTAGGCTGGCAAAATTAAACACATACATTATGCACATATGTTCATGCTCAGAAATGCATGACCCATTTATAAGGAGTTGAATCAGTGTGAGCTGGGACAGATTTAAAGCCTGCATGTTGCAGCAGGCAAAAAGGTGACAAAGATATTTGTGTGTGGACTTGAGAAAAAAAGTTCAAGTTTTGTATACTGCAAAAAAATCGACATACCTGGGCCTTTCGACAATCTTAAAATTTTTGCATTTCTCAAATAAGTACTAAAAGTACCCTATCATGGAGCACACTACCTACTGTCATGGTTTGCTGTGTGGCAGGCAGGATATAGGACCCAAACACAGGGCTCATACATGGAGAGGAAACTCAAAACGGCAGTTTTATTGCAGGAACAACTCTTACACTAATACAGAAAACAAAAACAAAAATAAGAAACTAGAAACATGAAACTCAAACCAAAAACACTAAGAAACCAGGGAACTAAACTGGGAACAGAGAACTGGCAAATACCAGTAGCATGGAGAGAACAAACACAGCACATGGGGGTGGTGATGGAAGGAAAACATAGGGCTTAAATACACAAGGGAGTAATGAGAGAATGGGAAACGGGAGGGAAACACAGCTGGGAGGAATAAGGCATAATGAGGCAAGGGGAAGCAAAACTAGATACTCTGACATAGGACATGGGACTGTCAAGTTAAAACAGGACACATGAGACAATCCAGCCCGTTCTCACTCCTGAGGCGTAATATACGGACGATTTGTCAAGTCCCAAGGTGTTCCTGAGGAACACGAAAGGTGACATTCCACGCTCCTATGCTACGCGCCGGGTTATGGATGAAATCCAGTAGAATGACGCTCTCGTGGTAATACATGTTCCAGCCATGTATTCCAGCCCTAACCCTACCCTTATCCCTAACCTTAACCAGCACTTTAATGACGTTAGATATTGTTTTCCTAAGCGATTTAAGTAAAACAAACGCACATGTCTAGATTCATTCCAAATAGTTCTCATGTTTCCTCATTTTTCTGATCTGTGCATGTGCATGCACCCGGAAGTTTAATATATCGACGATTTGTCACCTAGTGTAAAATGTTATGCTTTGGGAGTGAGAACGTGTTGGAGAATCAGAAGGAAGCAGACTAGACACTGAGACATAGAGACACGACTGGATGCCATCCAGTCATCCACCCATTCACACGCACATTCACACACTGGTGATGGCAAGCTACATTGTAGCCACAGCTGCCCTGGGGCTCACTGACAGAGGCGATATTAACATGTATTTTGTAGGATTTTGACAGAACACTGTCTGAAATCCAACACTATGAGTTGTACATTTTCCTGAAATGATGCAGGGTTTGACTGCAGTTATTGTGCTACCTGCTGTTTTTTGGGGACATTTGATTCTTGAACCTCTGTATATAATACCAAATTCTTATACATAACACATACATTTGAAAAAAGATATAAAAACTAAGCCATATCAGAACACATATAACTTGCCTAAAATAGATATACTTCTTCCAGCTAGCAACTAGCGTCTTCTTTTGCCACTATGTAGCTAAGATTGTAACAACTGAGCTATTAAAACTCAGTTTTTGACTTTTATGAATACACCATAGGGGTACTGTGGTACTTGCCTTTATGCACCCAAAGTCACGAGTGAAGGTGCACAATTTGAGACACAGAGAAGGAGCTAATGTAAATATATAAAACATTAACTCTCTGTTTGTTTATTTCTTTAGTTTAGTGACCAAACTTGGCATACTGGGACATCTTAGACCCTTGAAGGGTCTTATCTGTATCTGATATTATAACGTT